CCTTCCCTATAGAAAATGAAAATAAAACAATACAAAATGACAAGTAATTTCTATTTATAATAATTAAAAATTTTTTCTGTTTAAAGAAATTAACTATTATAAAAATTTATTCCTAAGCCTACATATTACATAGAAAAGGTTATAAAATTAAGCCGTCCACCACGGCAAAAAGAGCTTTCAATATCGTTGAATTTTTAAAATGCATGAAAACATGCAATTAATTTTAGGGTTTACCTAATCTGTGTGTGATAAATATTTTTTTATAATTAATTTATATAAAAAATAATAAAATTTAATTTTTATTTTAATATTATTATCACATAAATAATTTTAATTAGTCAATCAATTAAATTCAGATCAATATTTATTATTTTTATATAAATTAATTATAAAAAATTATATTTATTATAATTTTAATACTCACTTTTAAAAATATAAAATATAAAAACCCTTAATTTTATCGATGGCGATAAAAAAGCGCGCCTGCCTCATGCACAGTTTTTGTGATGTCGTTTTTTATGTTATTTTTTTGAGAAGTTGCTTTAGCTTTTAAATTTATGTTTATTGGTATTTAAAATAGTTTTATATTTATAAATCAATGTCATGTTGTGCTGAGTTCGTAAGCATAAGAGTCCCAATTTTTTCAAATGTTCTGTTCAATATATATTTTCCGTTCACCCAGATGTGTGGATATATTAATTTGGGGTTTGGTTTAGTTCTTAATTGGTAAGTAAAATAGTTTTCTATTTATAAATCAATGTCATGTTATGCTGAGTTCGGAAGCTCAAGAGTCCCAATTTTTTCCAATGTTTTGTTCAATATATTTTTTTGTTCACCCAGATGTGTGAATATATTGATTTGGGTTTGATTTATTTCTTTGTTTATTTGTGCCTTGGTTAATCTCAAATTCATATTGTTTAACCCAGGGCGTGGGGGAAGCGGCACCCCTCTCTCTTTTCTTGTTATACTTTCTAGTTTCTTTCTGTCATGCCTAGTGGTACAGCTATAATTTTTTGTTCGAGGATTAAACTGAAAACTTTGATCAAGAAATTGTCATTCGAAAAATGCACTGATTCTCGCAAATTTTTCTTAAAAAATAAAGGGAAAATTGCCCTTACCCTCTTTTGTGGTTTGAGATGGGCCATGAGGTTGATCTATTTTTTGGGTATAAGGTTATTTGTTTATGAGTTTATTTAATTTATATTGTAAGAGTACAATAAATATATTTTTTAATAATAAATTTATATTAAAAAAATAAAAATTAATATTTAATATATTAACTCTTTAATTAAATATATTTATTTACTTAATATTAATACTAAAATTAATATTAATTTTTATATTTTTATATATATTTATAATAAAAAATAATTTTAACTTATATTTTAACCACATAAGTTAAAAAAACAGTTGTTTTGGGAAGTGTTGCTCGGAGAGTGCAGGAGGCGAGCGCCGTTAGCACCACCCTTTTATCAGATGCCGCTAGAGGGACAAAAAAAAAAAACATTTGTTTATTTATGTTATGAGATTGAGGATTTTTTATTTTGAATAAAAAACTTTCTATCAATCAATATCTTTTCGCTAGCTATATCGTGAACGGTTGCATTGCACGTAAGCAGGGACGGAGCCAGCATAGCACAGGAGGCAACCGTCCCCCTTAACTTTTGAAAAATGTTAAATATGGTATAAATATTTTTTTTTACAAATTTTATTTTTAAAGTTTGAATTATAGCGACCATTCAAATATAAAGAAATATTGATGACTTAGGTAAAGGAATCATTTGAGACTAATTCTTATAAAGATACAATAATTCTACCTAAGTAAGAACAAATATAAAAAATACTACAAATCTAGTTATATTAAATATAACTTAAATAAGTCATTACATTGGTTATATATAGTTTTTATTTGTATAATTAATATTTTATTTCTATTAAACTAATGGTTGAATCTATTTTATTCATGTAAATATGTTTCAAATTTAAAATTAATTAAATATATATAACCTTACAAAGAAAATAAATTATATTTTTATACTATTTATTTAAATATTTTTTGTGTCCGTTT